TCAAAGCATTTAGGTAACTCGTTTTTCTAAATTCTATTTCTATTTGAATTTCTATCTTTGCACTATTTTGAGGACCAGTAAAGGTTGCCCAATCCGTTTCTTATTGCTTTTTCATCATTTTATCTCGTTGATAACAGTTAACGTGTAGTTTGATATGATCTTTTCAGCGGTGTAATATATGTTGACGCTATAAGTGAAAGTGCTCATTATGGTGATGATCACCTCATTTGGCTTCGCTTCTTCTTTACACTACGTTAGCTCAGTATTTGCGACGTTGAGATAACGGCATCATTTTGGGACATCTAATAAATTCTTGATTTATATAGTCTCATAATTGCTATTTGGGGCAACTTGTCATGCGGTCTGTTGATGGGCTCTTGTACAGCCCAATACACATGTTTGGATCTTGACAGTCTCTTCAGTAGGGCAGAACCCTTCGCCTTTTAAGCAATCCTCCCGGGGTGCTGTAGTCCCCACACTATACAGTGTCAAGATGGTGAATTGTTGCAATGAAAACGTATAATGTTCAACCGATAATCGCTTGGTACCCGATGAGTATAGAGAAATGCTTTTGACTGATGTTACTTCTTTATCCATGAGCTCTTCCAATCCATCGACTTCGCGTTGGTCCTGCTCTAACTGCCACCGCAATCTTCCGGGGATTTATCGGAACTGAAGTTCTCCGTGGCGATGTCGTAACAATGCTTTGCGATATGAAAATATAACACCATGCTGATTACGTTAGTCGCGGAATCCTTATGGTAAACGTGTGTATCTTTTGAGGACGAATACTACAAGGTGTTGACTATTGTCGAAAAATACATATGTTTCTCATGTATAAAACAAAAGAACGAAACACGTAACGGGAATAACTCAACGAAATCCGTGTACATTGAAGTGTGAGCAGAGGCAAACTGAGGCAGTGAAAGCTGTCCTTGGCGGCCTTCGATTCGACTAACACCGTCAAGTAAGTTGCCCAAAAGAGACCATGTCCCAAAAAAATGTTTTGATACTGGTGTATAGTTGCTAAATATTATCAATGAAGCCAATTTCTGTGTACGTTTTGCAGAATCGAGTGGTCATTTGAACCGAAAAGCTTATCATTATGTTCCAGCAGCCGACTTACACTAAATGTCGGCTCAGATAACTAAAATACCGCACAAATTATTCGTTTTTTTTTTCAGTGCTTGCACCAGACTAGAATTTATCACTGTGCAGCTCTGATTCCACCTCTGCCTACATAAATGTTGAAGAATGATTTTTTCTCGATGTTATTCACCTTCTTTTAGCTTCCACATAAGACCACTTTTCGATGGCTGAATGAGCATATTTCTAGTGAAGGCTATGAAGTGTTGTCGCAATAGATCTTATCGCAGTGAATGTTCTAACCTTTCTTTGTCTTCATCTCTATTTATTTCTTGAACTGGATTCTGTATGGCAGTAACTAAGCAGTGATGAGGACATTTTCTCAAATTATAAGCGAGGAGAATTTTTTTGTTTTTGATCTCTTGATATGAAATCTCCCAATTGCTATTACACAAAGCACCCAATCGAGATTCGTCACATTGCAAGCTTCATTTTGATGAATTGTTTTGACAGTTGACTTCCATATAAGTTGACAGTTTATTGCTGCAGAAATACCACAACTAAAATCGGTTAAATGCAAATGTTTCTGTCAAACGTATCAGAGTTCACTCTCAATTACCACCTACAGTGGCTGATGCTGAGAAAAAGTGCGATCTGAACGGACCTAATGCCAACATTCGAACCGCTCTGTTCACCACATTCTGCCACATCGTTCTCGACCAGTTCGCCATGATGATGTTTGAGGTCTGCATAGATTTTCTTACACAAAACGAAGCTGTATCGAGAAGAAATTAATTCTAACCGAGAGAGTTCCTGAAATTGTCTGTTGTGCGCTGGGAACAGCCGTCACCTTCACCTTGTCGCCATCTGGTGCAGCACACATATCCCTGTTAGTCGCCATGTTTGTAGTGCAAATACCCGTCACCGTGTTGTCAACGATAATGCAATATTCTTTTGAATCACGCTGTGGCACTGCAACACTATAAGATATAGTAAGACAAATTTTTCTATCATAACACCAAACTGAATAAGCTGCTCATATTTTCGAGCACTGGCAATCTTTTATTTTTCAACGTCTTCCAAATCCTCAGTTGAAAACTTCTGCCATATTGATACTATACCGTTCTCATGAAAAGTTATGAAAAAATATACAGATAATGGTATCGATTCGAAGGCGGTAACTCTTGTGCGATTACTAAATGTTCTCCTGTTATGTTTTCTCCTAACCCAAGATTTTTCAAATAATTCTCTAGCAGTTGTCTATTTTCTTATTTCAAAGAACAAAGAACGCAATTCTGCTCCAGATATTTGTTTCACTTCTGCCTATATTCTTCAAGCGTTTGTATAATACGGAAGACCCACATGTCTTCTCTGGGCTAATAACATTCTTGCACTGCAGTGGTCGGTAATTGACCCTGACTTCAAGTTGTCCCAAAATGGACGAGATGATACCATCAGGTAAGAGTGCGCTACGAGCTTGGCTTTCAAGAACGTCAAAAACCTAAAGAGCATTCATTCTCACTTTATTAAAATGTTCACTCGGAAGTGTCTAAATCAAATTTGTCAAGCCATGCAAGTCATGTTAGCCTGTGAGAGTATCCAAAGCTTTTTCCGGGTTGATCGCCCGCTTCATCAGAGCCACATGCACCGCACTGAGCCGTACTTCATAGCAGGGATGGGGGACGTTTGGTGATAGCACGGGCTACTATGTTAACACCATTTTCACCTCACAAACTATATTCAATGTCTACAGCGAGGTCCAAAAACAATCGATTGGAAGGATGTCACCAGCGATCGTATACTGACCGAAAAAAACTGGCGATAACACAATATTACATGCTATCACCATAACGTTTCATATCTGCTATGAAGTGGGATGCGAGACGTGTAACCCTGATGAAGCGAGCGATAACGCCGAAATTTACGTAAGCTAGTGGCACACCAACCCCGAAAAGGCTTTAATCGACGAATTTCTTTCGAAATGAAAGCCCAATGCCCTTCTCCCACGCCTTTCAAAATTTCGAATAGAACAAGAAAATGCTTGAATTCTATAAGTTGCAAACTCACTGTTTGCATCACAAGACGGGAGACAAATGCCTGGGCGCCACCCATGTCAGCTGCAATGCCAGGGACACGCGCACGGACATCGGATGAGGCAGAATAAACCATCGCAACAGGTAGCGTGAAACCGGAAACGGTAAAGGTCCGTGTGCTCGCTGCAACAAACACTTAAATCATATTGATGTTTGTGATCTTAAACTAGGAATTCGAAATTCTTCCATTAAATTGGAATAGAAACAGTTTTGATTACTGATGTTGTTTTGAATGTGGTGGTGATCTGCTGTCGGGCAGTAATTTTTAATAGGACCTCTTGTGCTGGTCAAAGGCTCTCCATCGAACTAATAATGATCATTTGAAAACCCAAATGGCGGAGAGCTCAATAGACGATACTTCTTTTTAGAAATACCTTCTGTAACGCTGTAGCATTTTACTTCAGCACTTTATTTGATCCGTCATCACAGTGCTTTTCTTTTCACTGTGGCGGATTCCAGTACTTCTAGCATCAAATTCGTTTTTCATCTTCTTCTTGAATGACGTAGAACAATGGTTGAGCGAATCTCCCCGCAATCTCGAGGATAGCCTTGCTGTGTCGTTCCATAGGACGTTGTTGCTGACTGCCGCAGAGAAGTGGGAGGGTGCTGCTCGACTCCACGCGCGGCGTGATCAACATCACAACCACCTGCCACCGCGCCCCTTTAACGGTGTAGCACTCAGAATAAGGTTGTAATTAACACTCGTTGGCCGTTATCGCACATTATCGAGCGTAATCTTCCCTGAACGAGCTCTTCCCTTAGACTGTTAGAGATTGTTTGATAACTCAAATTTTGAAAATCCAAAGTGCGCCTACTGAAAACGAAGCTCTTTTCAACGTTGTAACAAAAAAAAAACTTGTGTTTTACCCGCGCATATTCCTCGCAGGACAGAGCTCCTCCCTTGGATATAAACGACCATTCGACAGCGTAACTTTCAGCAATTGCAACACTGTGCTCGTTTTCCAAAGAGACAATTTTCCTGCACTTTAGGAGGGAAACTGAGATGGTGCTTCAAACGCGAAGCGCAGTGTTAGTTGGCTAGGAAGTATCAGTCATTGCGGATCGATAGCGAGATCACATGTGGAGGATGATTGAGGACTTTTCTCCGTTTTGACAAGATACCGAGATGGAAATTTTGATATTATTGGTACTCAATGTTATCCTATACACGTTAAAATGCCACAGCGCCAGAAAGCTTTTCCAAAAATCAAGGACGTATTGAATTTTTGAGATTCACGCTATCGAACGATCACTAGAAGTCTAGGGGTAAAGCTTTACATTGCGAAGAACCCGCGACAATGCGCAACGTGTGTGAAGCACAATTCTATTTTCTCTTTAACAGCAGTGTAAGAAGTCGTTCTAAAACATGAGTACACTTTTAAAACAGCGAGAGATAAGCTTTGAATGGTCGCTTATACTCTAGTGAGAATTTTTGCTTGTAAAAAACCCCTTCAAATATTCCTGCCCGATAACAGAAAAACCTGAATATATTCATTCTTAATAATATTCATAAGTTTGTCAATAGGATTGGAAATATTCCCAATACAAAAACAATTTTTGTTCACAACCTTGTCCCGCAGGCATCACTCCACATCCCAAGACTGTCGAGACTGTAGCCAGCAGCGGAATTATGAGGCATTTGGTCAGAAATCTCGCCATATTTGAAAAGATTTTCACTTTTGTTCCTTGTATATCTTATAAAATGTTGAAGACACGACTGAAATTTCTTCTAATTAAGTATGTCGTTCTCGAGGGGAACACCGGATTATCATGCAGAGCTTTTGCACTAGTAATGAGCGCGATAAGAATATGCAAAACTTGCACCTCAGGCGGGATTTGAACCCGCACCGCACCCTATCCGAGGGCATGTGCTCATTTAATTGCACTACCGACACCTGCTCTGCCACCACCCTTTCTAAGCTACAACTCATCAGTCTGTCAGCGACCAAGCGTCAGTGGTTTAGCGTGGCAGGCCGTATCTTCATTGATCCCCGTTACGCTGACAGACTTTGGACATATGTGAATAATTCTTTTCTTTTTTCTTTTCTTTTCATGTGAGCGCTTTTTAGCGGTGGTATGATGCCTCAGATATACCAAATGATGTTGAGTGATGTGCAAAACTTCAACATTACTATCGCTAAAAAGCGGTTGAATAAAAAGTTTCTCTGTCGATTGTTGTTTTGTCTACTATGAAAATAAAACCTTTTGAGGCAATTAATGACAGGTTCTATTTTCAAAGCGCAGGAGAATAGATAAAAAAAAAGTGTAAAGTTCTCGGCGTTGATCAATCTTTAAGGGATGCGCCATGCATTCCACTTCAATTATTTTAAACTTCGTTTGAGGTGATTGAATGCATATCAGGCCTTTACAATGACTCGCGGTGGCCTCCCGTTGAACCGAGTCAGTGCTGTCTATCCTCCTAGACAAATCTCAGTCCTTTCTGGTACCAATTTACCGACCCCGGAGGGACGGATGGCTTGGTGAGCCATGAGCGCGAGATCGAACCATTGACCTCGTGTGCGACGCAGAGCACCTCTAACCATTGCGCCACATGCGCCCTATAGAAGAATAGATAGTAAAGTTAAATGCATATCGAATGTTGAAATGACATTCGGCCTCATCCACAACGATGCTAGTGAATGTTCCAATTTCTCAGGTGGCGCTGCTCAATAACGGTTCCAGCCTTCTCACTGTCTATGCTGCACGTATAAAAACCTGGCTTTCGCAAAAACAAAATATTTGCAATCAAGAAAATTGCCGAATTTGCAACTATGCGTTTGAGAAAAAATGCAAGAAAGATTATGAACAACAAAAACATGGCAGAACATTTGCTGAGAATTACTAGGTTACAGGATTCTAAGTAGCAAAAAATGCCCTCATTGAGCTTTGATGTTCACGATAGCTTCCCACATCTAGCCCTACGAGATTTCCTTTGTTTGAGAAGGTTTAATTGATCCTCGAAATAAGAACTTCTATGAAGTAATCGGCTAGAGAATTCAGTGACAAGCGGAAATGAGGTGACAGCAAGAATCCACTAATATGATGACGCAAAATCAAATCTAGTCAGAATCGGTGGCAGAGCAAGCAAGTGTATTGAGACACCAACTTTTTTGTGAGAAAAAAATTCCACGTTTCATAGCATTAACAGTGTATAGCTATGGGAAATTAGAGCGAACGATTACAATAATACGACTGAGATGACACTGGTTAGAGGCTTCCTTATTCGCCTATTTGAATGCTCCACGTTTCCCATCAAGGCGGGTGTTTTCGAAACTCCGTCGAGTCCTTGCAATTTCCCTACCACATACACTCAAACGAAATTTGTCATTGTACATTTTGTATAATGATGTCTCATTACATTAGTGCAACGGCCGCAAACTCTCCAAAGGTTCATCTCAAATCTTCAAATTGTTCAGAAAGGATAGTCTGAAAATTAAAAATGCTGTCATCTTCTAATCAGTTACTCCGACTTTTTAGTCAGTATCTTGAGTATTCAAAGCAACCAGAAAATGAAATAAGTGGTGAATATTCATTGATTTCTCATCAGTTTCACGGCTGGAATGCGCTATTTGACGCTGAAATTAACTCTTAACCCGTCGAGATCGAAGTGCCCTGTATAGAGGACACTTAGCATGCGTTTTGATGGAAATAGGATATTATGTAATAAATTCAGCATTTGAAGGATATCACTGCGATTAAGTGATAGAGTCTTATATGAGAGTTTCCTATAAGCTTAGGTTCAATAAAATGGGACGCTCAATGTAGAAATTTCTCTATGTCTCAACTAAAAAACTGCCGGTCACCACAAAGTCAGGTAATAACATCATCCTACTTTGGGTGCTTAATTTTACTCGGCGTCGGTTCCTTTAGAGAATTGTTTACCTCAAGGGATCGACGGAACCGAGGGAGGGTGCTACTGATGAGTCCCAATAGGACGAAATAGGCGCCTATATAGCACTAGACCTATGGCTCAAAATATGTCATATCCTTCTGAAAGGATCAAATTATCAGCTGATATCAAACAACTGTTTCTTATTTCAATTAACGTCTTTGATTTGGTAGTCATTTGATAACTTGAAAAAGTGCGATCTCAATGTTGGGCTCAATTCGTAAAGAAACCCTTCTTAATACGTTCTACTACCGAAAGATAACATCTTGTTTGCGGAGTATGTTCCCAACTTTGCAGCAGATTTTTCGTTATTATTACTGAAACTTTGATGCTGAGCATACTATGTCGCTATGAAAAACTAGATTATAACTGCAAGAATTTGCATATACGTAGTTTTAGTAAGAAGAAAACACATTTCCTTTGAAATTTCCTCTTTTCACTGGAAATCTGTGGAGCGCAATTGCCTTGTGTGAAATACACTCGTGTTTCCATGGCTTTTCTCTGGAAAGAAGCGTTCTGACCAGACTATTAGTATTCATTCAATAGCTTGAAAGGTGCAGGTCCTAGTGCTAAGGTTGGTTTTTGAGAAATAATCTTCTAATACGTTTCGACTGAGAGAGTGAATGATACGTTTGGCCTTCGGAACACGTTGGTCCAACTTCACAGCGGTTTTTTGTATTATATAGTAAGATTTTGTTTCTAAGAAGACTTTTAAGCAGCGGAAAAGTAGATTGCTGTTGGAGGAGACTTTACTCACATTCTTAGGTGCGCTTTTGGGGTTTGCAGGGATAAATACATTCATATTATGTATGAGTGAATGTATAAAAAGTTTTCATCTAAAGAAAATAGAACAAAGCTTCTTGTAAACAATTTATGAAGTGGCATCGAATTACACTATACAACATCGTTAGACGAATGCTCCCTTGCTTTGCATTGTCTTTGCATTTTACTATCGTATAAAAAACTAGAAATACTTCAAATGAAGTCTCACAGTGAATGGAAGGAATCTATATCACCTTTGGCTATTTAGTGACCAATAAACCCTTGTTGTGGTGATGAAGATACAAATTTCATTGGAAAACTACCATATTCTTATTGTAAAGCGCTGCCTCGCCACGCGATCGCGTCACGTGTTGCGTAAAAGATCAACTTGGAGGCCAAGGGATCAATAAATTTGGTATAATACAAGTCACTTTAGCGCGCATTGTTCACTTCATGCTATTTTGCTGAAGATGTATTACTTGCTATTCATTTCGTACATATTTTAGAATACAACAGGGATGTCGGACAAGAAGCTCGTATTAGAGTCCAAAATGGGGTGAAGAAGCTTAGAAAATTGCAACTCAGTATCGTGTTTAGTCTAGGAACTGCTCACAAGCGTACAGTGCAGCGATGGTTCACGAAATTTCGTAAAAGTGACAAGAGCCTTGGAGGAAGAACGTAAAAGAATATGTAATGGAAGAAGATAAAAAAAGAAAAAATCATCAAAACTGATCTCTCAAGGCTACATGAGATGTTTTAGAGGAACTCAACGTTTATAATTCTACGGCCGTATGCCATTTGAAGCAAATGTGAGAATCATCGCAGTTTTATACTGGTTTGAAACCGCAATCACTTTTGAATCAACCTAATAAGGTATATGCTTTCGATTAACGACGCTTTAGCGTGATGATACCATTTCATCTAGTTTACTTGCCGGCGGAAAAGAGTTGCTCTGATTAGTAATGTTAGCACTAAACTGAATTTTTTGTTTGATTGGAGATCTTTCGAAATGGCGCCCTTGTGATAAATATCGGTGTTTGTTTTATAACAATAATGCAGCGCAAAATATCAGTCGGCCACGTTTTGTAATTTCGGCTGTTTAAGCGATCGAAGTGGTGTTCAGCACTATCATCGAGCATTAATTTATACGCTAACATCTGGCGACCCGATAGTAGAGGAAGTTACCCTCAGTTTGCAGAATACTTTTTTCAGAGAACGACGGTTTGAGCGTGATCTCTAAAATACGTCCATTCAGCGGCACGAAGTTCTGGTTGTACTTCTCCATCTAAGTAACATTACAATTGCGGAGGGAGGAAGGACAGCTTCACATTAAATCCACTATGCTAACGAAAGTTATCCTATTCAGAACTTAATAATTATGTTTTGCCTATTTCGCGAATGAATATAAAAGATATCTTCAAGCTAAATAATAATTATCTTTTCAATGTGTTTTATGAGAGCTTAATGAAGTTAAATAAGCAATTTAGTGTGCGAACGGTTCCGTGTAATTGTACTACCGTATGGTAGCAATTCGTATTGTAGCAGTTCCGTGTTGAAGCAGTTCCGCATTGGAGCGTTCCCGTGTTGTAGAAGTTCCGTATAATATAAATTATTTTGCTGAACAAAGAACACTTTTTCCACAATAATTTTACACTATAGAAACAACAATAACTGTGCTATGTCGACGTGGTGGGAACATTACTTCATTCATGCGGTGCTTCACTCTACTCGATTCGTCTTGATGAGATGACTTTGGGGACTAACTCAGAAAGAACAATTCCCCAAGACACTTGACTCAAGACATAGTGGCTCTGACGAAATCAAGATTGTCGAAATGTTGGGCATAGTAGAGTTTATACCACCACGTGTAATCTCACCATTGAAGCAAAATATTAATGAACCACGTAGAGCTTCACTAAAAATCGGATGTGAACTTTTTTTGTTACTGGAGAACAGTACAGCGGAGAACATCTGATGGTCTGATTGAGTGATTGCAGCATTGAACGCACAGAGTGGTGCTCTTTTACATCAACAACCGCTCAGTAACATTCCAACATTTTCATCATCACATACTAAAAGTCTGTGAGTTCACAAAAAATATTACTTAGAAGATGATGGCCTGGACATAATATTCTGAGAGACATTTTATTCAGAAAACTATGAGGGAACAATTGCACTTTGTTCGCGAAAGAGCTTATGTCTCCGTACAAGCGGCATTTCAAAGTTAGTCAAAGAACGAAAGAA